AAAAACAAAACAAAACAAAACATTTTGTCAGCCCCGAAGCTTCTGAAGCTGTTAAGCAACTTCACCAAAGTCTCAGGACACAAAATCAATGTGCAAAAATTGCTGGCATTCCTATACATCAACAACAGTCAAGCTGAGAGCCACAAACAAATGCCTACTCACACTTGCCACAACAAGAATACAATACCTTGGAATACAGCTAACCAGGGAGGTAGTTCTCTACAAGGAGTTCTCTACAAGGAGAACTACAAGCCACTGCTCAAAGAAATCAGAGATGACACAAACAAATGGAAAAACATTTTATGCTCATAGATAGAAATAATCAATATCATTAAAATGGTCATCCTGCCCAAAACAATATATACATTCAATGCTATTCCTACTAAATTATCAATGATATTCTTTACAGAAATAAAATTTTAAGAAATTATTTTAAAATTTATATGGTACCAAAAAATAGCCCTCATAGCCAGGGTAATCATAAACAAAATGAACAAAGCCGGAGGCATCATGCTACCTGACTTCAAACTATACTAAACCACAGGATTATAGTAACCAGAATGGCATGGCACTGATACAGGAACAGACACATAGACAAATGGAATAGAATAGAGAACCCAGAAATAAGACCACACACCTACAACTCACTCTGAGGAAAGGATTTTCTATTCAATTTCTATTCAATAAATGGTGTTGACATAACTGGCATATGCAGAAGATTGAAGCTGGGCCCCTTCCTTACACTATACACAAAAATAAACTCAAGATGGATTAAAGACTTAAACATAAAACCCAAAACTATAAAATTCCTGGAAGACAACCTAGGCAATACCATTCAGGACACAGGCACTGGCAAAAGTTTCATAACAAAAATTCCAAAAGCAATTGCAACAGAAGCAAAAATTGACAAATGAGATCTAATTAAATGAAACAGCTTCTGCAAGCAAAATAAACTATCAACAGAGTAAACAAAGAACCCATGGAATAACAAATTTTTTGCAAACTATGTGTCTGACAGAGGTATAATATCCAGCATCTATAATGAACTTTAAAAAAAGTGTACAAAGAAAAAAACAACTCTGATAAAAAGTTGGCAAAATACATGAATGGACACTTCTCAAAAAGAAGACATACATGTGGTCAACAATCATATGAAAAGATCTCAGCAACATTGATTGTTAGAGAAATGCAAATCAGATCCACAATCAGATACTATCTCACACCAGTCAGAATGGCTATAGTTAAAAAGTCAAATCGTAAGAAATGCTGGTGAGGTTGTAGAGAAACAGGAAAAGTTATCCTCTGGTGGTCAGAGTATAAATTATTTCAGCCACTGTGGAAGACAGTGTGGCAATTACTCAAAGACCTAAAGACAGAAATACCATTTGACCCAGCAATCCCATTACTGAGAATATATCCAAAGGAATATAAATCATTCTATTATAAAGACACAGGCATGCATATGTTCACTGCAGCACTACTCACAGTAGCAAAGATATGGTATCAACCTAAATGTCAATCAATTATAGACTGGTTAAAGAATATGTGCTACATATACACCATGGAATACTATGCAGCCATAATGAAGAACAGGATTATGTCTTTTGCAGGAATATGAATCAAGCAGAAGGCCATTATTTTTACTGAAATAACACAGGGCCAGAAAACCAAATACCACATGTTCTCACTTATTAGTGAGAGCTAAATAATGAGAACACAAGGACACACAGAAGAGAACACCACACACTGGGGTCTCTTGAAGGATGGAGGGTGGGAGGAGAGAAGATCAGGAGAAACAACTAATGGGTGCTAGGCTTAAAGCCTGGGTGATGAAACAAACCGTGCAACAAACCCCTGTGACACAAGTTTACCTATTAACAAACCTACACTTGTACCCCTGAACTTAAAAGTTAAAAAAAAAAAAAAAAGAAAGAAAAAACAATCTTCTAGCAGAAAAAAAACTCAGGACCAGAGGGCTTCACTGCTGACTTCTAACACATATTTAAGAAAGAAATAATACCAATTCTATTCAAACTATTCTAGAAAATAGAGAAGGAGGGAACACTACAAAACTTATTCTATGACGCTAATATTACCCTGATACCAAAACCAACAACACATCAGAAAAAGAAAACAGGCCAATATCACTGATGAATATTGATGCAAAAATCTTCAACAAAATACTAGCAAACTGAATTCAACAACACATTAAAAACGTCATTCATCATGACTAAGTGGGATCTAACCTAGAGATGCAAGGATGTCTCAATGTATGCAAATCTATATATGGGATTTATCATATCAATAGAATAAAAGACAAAAATCATATTATTATTATTATTATTATTATTATTTTTGAGATGGAGTCTCGCTCTGTCCCCCAGGCTAGAGTGCAGTGGCCGGATCTCAGCTCACTGCAAGCTCCGCCTCCCGGGTTTATGCCATTCTCCTGCCTCAGCCACCCGAGTAGCTGGGGCTACAGGCGCCCACCACCTCACCTGGCTAGCTTTTCATATTTTTTAGTAGAGACGGGGTTTCACCGTGTTAGCCAGGATGGTCTCGATCTCCTGACCTCGTGATCCGCCCATCTTGGTCTCCCAGAGTGCTGGGATTACAGGCATGAGCCGCCGCGCTTGGCCCATATGATTATTTCAATTGATGCTGAAAAATTATTTGATAAATTCAACATTCCTTCATTTAAAAACATTCTCAAAGAATTGAGTATAGGATGAACATACCTCAGTATAATAAAGGCCATATACAGCAAACCCACTGCTAGTTTCATACTGAATGGGGAAAAAACAAAAAGTGTTTTCTCTAAGATCTGGAACACGATAAGGATGACCACTGTCACCAATGTCATTCAACATAGTACTGGAAGTCCTAGCTAGAGCAATCAGACAAGAAAAAGAAATAAAGGACATCCAAGTTGAAATAGAAGAAGTAAAACTATTCTTGTTTGTTAATGATATGGTATTATATTTAGAAAAACCTAAAGACTCCTCAAGAAATTGATTAGAACTGATAAACAAATTTAGTAATTTTGAATGTTGATTTCGTATCCAAAATCAACATACAAAAATCAGTAACATGTTTATGTGCCAACATTAAGGAATCAAGAAATTTATCCCATTTACAATAGCTACAAATAAAATAAGATAAATTAATCAAGGAATTGAAAATCTTTACAATGAACACTATAAAACTTTGATGAAAGAAATTGAAGACACAAAAAATGAAAAGATATTACATGTATGTGGAAAAATAAATATTGTTAAGATACTCATACTCCCAAAGTAATCTATAGATTCAATGCAAACCCATGTAAAATAATCATGACACTCTTCACATTAATTGAAAAAAAAAAAATCCTACAACTTATATGGAGCCATAAAATACCCAGAATAGCCAAAGTTATCCTAAGCAAAAAAAAAAAAAAAAAAAAAACTACATTGGAGAAATCACATCACCTGATGTCAAATTATACTACAGAGCTATGCTAACCAAAATAGTATGGTACTAGCATAAAAATAGACATATAGACCAACGGAACAGAATAGAAAACCCATAAATAAATTCATACATCTACAGTAAACTTATTTTCAACAAATGTTCCAAGAAAATACATTAGGGAAAGGACTGTTTCTTCAATCATTGCTACCTGGAAAACTGGATATCCATATGCAGAAGAATGAAACTAGACCCCTATCTTTTGCCATACACAAAAAATCAAATCAATGCATATTAAAGACTTAATTAACTCTAAGACTTCAAACTATGAAATTACTAGAAGAACACTTTGGGGGAAACTCCTCAGGAAATATGAATGTGCAAAAACTCTTTGAACATTACCCAACAGGCACAGGCAACCAAAGCAAAAATGGACAAATGAGATCACATTTCATTATTTAGATGATAGCCAAAAATGTATCATGGACATTAGAACTGATTATAGAAGAAAAGAAGAACTACCCCAACACAATGTAAAAAGTCAAAAGCAACATTCTACCACATTTAAAATACCAAAAATTGATAAAGTATGTTGTTAATATTGCTCATATGTCAAAATTAAAGATTAAAGGTAAGTTTCTTCTTTATATAAAAATTTAGGTTTATGACTGATTTCAGGAAATTTTTTTCTTTAAGTGCTATTTCTATTTCGTCAAAACATCAGTGTATTATACATTGCAGTTTAAGATAGAAGTGTATGAGTGAAATAAATTACTGTTACAAAGAGCAGTGGAACAATAGGACAGAAACATCACCAAATATAAAGTGGACAATGAAGAAATGTGTGCATATACACAATGAGTGCAAATATATTTGGAACGTTCAGTATATCCTGCAGCGTTTTAAAATTTTATCAGCACAATATATATATATATATATATATATATATATTTTTAACTGATTGCTTAAACTCCACGTTTTTAGAAATATTTTGTCTGACAGCCTTAACTTATCATAGGTTTACATGTAATACATGTGTTATAATTTGGAAAAGAAAATGCATATTACATATTATTTACAAGTTCATAAACAATGGAAACTTAATTTTGTTAGTATATGTTTAGAAAACATATACAGTTTATAGATCAAATTGGAATTGAATCCAGAAAAGTATAATTATATCTTTAATGGCTGCTCAAACAAAACACTGAAAATGCTTATACTATGACAGGAGAAAAATGAATAATTAAATTCATAGGTAATTTGAAAGTAACTAAGTCAAATAAATAACTATAGGGTCACATTTATTTTACTATCTAAATATTGATGACACACAATTTAGAAAAAGCATTCAGATATATAATATATCCAACTGACTGAATGCCTTTCCTAGATTTCAGATATTTTAAATGTATTAAAAATGTGTTTGAAGCAAACAGTTGATATTTTATGAGAAGCAAAAAGGTAAACAGTTCTTAAACACAAATCAGCAATTCATTTTAAAATGAAACATGCAACATGGTGATGGTTTGTGTGGATTTCTACTGTACCTTTCTTTAGTCCAGGAATGAAAGCTAAAAAGAAATTTTAATAAAGTTAAACACAATAAATATTTTCTCTTATTTCTACAACATTATATTAGCATACCTAAATAAATATAATTTGTAAGGTATTGCAATATATTTTCTACTTCACTTTGCAAAGAATGTGATAATTGAGATAGACAAAGACTGGTGCTCCTTGATATTTGTATTTCGTAATACAATTTTATAGAATTGGACCAAACCTATGCAATATGTTGGCTTCCTTGGAAGTAATGATTGGTCCTTTCCACAAAGGAAATGTGTTGTTGAGCTTAACATTTTGCGGTAACTCAGTAGATTTTCTAGCTTCGTCGCTTGTGATGGCAAAGTACAGTCCTCTACTGACATACCAGTTTCTTTCATGCAACGTCCTACTATAAGTGTAGAGCAAGCAAAGACTTTGTTTTTGACTTAACAGGTTGCTCTGTTTCCAACTTCTGATATATAAAATCGTAATAGGAAAAACCCCAAATCAGCAGGCACTAACATGAGAATGGTCCAATAGAATTATTCTTATCATGGTTTAAGAAACTTTTTCTATAATACCATTGTCTTCACTTAAAATTTTATATTATTTCTCACAATTAGAACATAAGGGATAGAGATTATTGTCATTATTTTCCAGATAAATTCAAGCCTTGCATTATTGACTTTCATCAAAACACTATGAAATCATGCTTGACCTGGAACAAGTAGCAAAGTCTTTTTTAAACAAAATAATTGTATGTTTATAAATACCCAAATATATACTGATCTGGGTAGATGACTCTCAAGTTTATTCATTACAAAATTTTAAAGCCCATGTTAATAAATAATTTCCCAATCACATCTGCATTTTAGGAATTATTTAATAATATGCATTATGGATGAAAGCGTAAAGATAAACATTTTGAACTTGTTAAAAATCTATTTTGAATAAAATTAGAATATTATAAAATCAAAGACATGAAATTCTTAGATGGACGTAATAAAGCAGAATAGAAAAATAGAGGTGAAAGTAATGTTTCTATGCACTAATAAGGATCAATAAAAGAGCATTGTACAATATTTGTAAGTGTCATTGACAAACAGCACATTTATTTCTCATTGCAAGGTGTTTCATCTGTATGCAATGTAATTTGATGGTAATACAAGATGAAGTATAACATTTCTTTTAAATAGTCCTTTCATAAGACACTTTCGGGAGGATTGATTTTCTAAATAGAATTTTGCAACTCCCCACCCTTTAAATGAGGATTCTACTTCAATGATGAGAAACACACACACACACACATACACACACACACACACAGAATCACTCTAATTTTTTATTAATTAGAATTAATAATCAACTCGTAATTTTTAAGTGTAGAGTTTTCAAATATACTGAAGTAAAAAGAGAAAGACTGCTTTAAACAGAAAAGTAATAATGTACATGCTTTTCATTTTTAAAAACTGCAATTTCAGTGTTGTCTAGAGCTTAGTGATAAAAATCTTTTCTAATTTGGTAACTAAAAAGGTCAAAAAAATAAGTAATGTAATGGGTCTGGACTTATTTCTAATAGTATGGAAGGTAAAAATAAAAGAAGCAAAACAAGGGACAAGACAACAATAAAAAAGAAAATAAACACATTTTAACAACCTATTCAAGACTTTTAGCTCCCAAATTGAAAAGTGAAAATTGGTTTATAAACTACCAAAGTCAAATATTGATTACTTTTCCTTAAATTCAGAACAAGCATATTCAGCATAAAACTTTTAAGACTAAATGTGAAGAATTTCTCGAATTCATCACATGAGAAATGGTCCAGAAAAGGAACCAGTTTCCCACTGTAAGGCAGTATATACATATGTGTATATATATATATACACACACACATATATACACACACATACATACATATGTATATACAGATAGATGCATACGTATATACATACACATACATATACATACATACATATATACACATGTATATACACACATATGTATATATATACACACACATACACACATATATATTATATGCTAACAACCACTAAGAAATACATTATAATTATTAATTATCATTATAATTATTAAGACTTTTTTGCCTAAGCTAAAGGCCCGTCTTGAAATGTATCTCTAAATCTCAGAGTAATTTTTAATTAAGGTTTAAAAGTTTATCATTGACATTTTTAAAGCATCAACATTGCCCAAGATGTTTGTAGTAAACAGATCAGCATAGTCCTTGTCATCTAAAATACTATAGTCTATGTGAATCATTATGACTCAAACTAATTTTTAAAATAATTAATCCAACCAAATTTTATATTATGAATGACTAGGTATATAATATGACTAATGTGTAACTTAAAACATAATTTGTATAATATGGAAGATGAATATATCTCACAAGTTAAATTTGTTTTTAACCAGAAGATTGTTTTTAGGCTATTAAATATTCTGTGATTAAATTTATTTGTTAATAAATTTAAAAACAATACTTGAGGCATCATTATTTTTACTTACACAAATTCAATACTAATAAAAAATTATGTTTGCATAAATTCTTACTTTGAGTATAATTGAGTTTTTTAACATTGTTTTCTGAATTAATGACTAGCAAATATTTTAATTAGTAAATTAAAACAATAGAAATGACTACGCTTCTTTTACTACAAAATTAAGAAAACATACATTTTAAAGAAAAAAAATCTCCTGTTTGAGTTTTATAAATATTACTACAATTTATCATGAGAACAATACCAAAACATGCTATGTTATCACATACATGCATATTTTAATATCTCCTTTATAATCCTAAAACAAATTTTAAGTACTAAATATGAACTAGAAATATCTGGCTAAATGTAAATGAGAATTCCAAATAACTAGATGATGTTTGAAGAGCTTAAAGGTCAATAGAATTCACCGTAAAATTCACAGTGTTGGCATAACGTTTGTTGATCAAGCACCATGCGTCAATCTATAATTGCCATTTACTTCAATAAAGAAGTAACAGTTGCACTTTTATTATGCATAAATTTTAAAGTCATGTAATAAAGCTCCTTTAATGAAGCCATTTTAAAATAAAAGTATCTTTTCTTGGAATAAATAAGAAGTGAAAATATTTTCAAAGACATTTGTTCAGAAATAATCAGATATCTTTACTACTAGAGTCAACTGAAACACAATATTGTATGTAAGTATTTATGACTATGCATATGCATATGTCTCCTCCTTAATTCAGTGAATTACAATGTTTGTTATGCTTCCTAATACAGATAAAATCTGATCAGTCAAGATTCAATTCATCTGAAAACTAACGTGTATACTGTTCTTATGGGCTTTTTTTTTTCTTCTAGAGACGCGTTCTCACTCTGTAGCCCAGGCAGGAATACAGTGGAAAGATCATAGTTCAGTATAACCCGAAATTCCTGGGCTCTAGCAATCATCCCACCTCAGCTAGGACTACAGGCCTATGCCACCTATAGCATGGACTAGCATATGCCACCATGATACAGGCTAACTTTTGAGAACCAGTTTCTCATTTGCTTATGCAAAAACACACAGTAGTTTATATTGAAGGTCACAGGATATGGCAGAATCAGTATAAAAAAATAAAATCAATGTACAGAAGACTGTGGTGTCACATTAACAAACCAATACCTCTTTGAATAATGCTAATTTTAAAAAATGTTACAAAATATGCCAAAAAGATTCAATTCTTCTTGATGTATAATTCAAATCACCCCAGCAAATCTCATATTGAGTGCAAAACTAATATACTGTAGCAGTGTTGTGTTTGTGTAGATTGCATAGAGTCTGAACTACAAAAATAGTGAAACTTGAATCAAATTTTCTATTCAAATTGTGTGAAAGGCTAAGACTATTGAATTAGTTTCTTCTGATGCTGCTATAAAGGACTGCCCAAGACTGGGTAATTTATAAAGGAAAGAGGTTTAATTGACTCAGAGTTCCACAGGGCTGGAGAGGCCTCATGAAATTTACCATCATGGTGGAAGGAATAGCAAACACATCCTTATTCACATGGCAGCAGGAAGGAGAAGTGTCAAGCAAAGGGGGAAAAACCCCTTATAAAACCATCAGATCTCTTGATAACTCACTTGTTATCATGAGAACAGTATGGGGGTAACTGTCCCCAAGATTCAATTACCTCATACCAGGTCCCTCTTGTGACATGGGGATTATGGGGACTATAATTCAAGATCAGATTTGGGTGGGGACACAGCCAAACCATATGAGCTACAAACAGAAAAGCTGTGACATGATTAACATAATGAGCATCTTATTTGCAGTGAAATAAATGTTGCAAATATAAAATTCATTACGTATCCCTATACATTAAAGTTTCCATCCATATTCCTCTGTGCCTTGAGTTTCAATAAAAAATTAGGTTGCTACTGGATCAAAGAAATATTAATTTGAAAATTGACAACAGCTAAAGTCATAATGTTGGCTTTATTATAGAGGTAACTAACGCCTTAGGAATGAAAACATTTTCACCAAATATGCAATTACCATTTTCTACATTAACAGAATTTTGGTTGACTGAAATCATGCAGTGCCATAATACCAGATGGCTTATTTTCTTTCATAGCCTAGAGTTGTACATTTTCTTCCATTTCTGAAATTAACTAATTTTTCCTATTCTTCACAAAATCTTCCTAGTCCACAAGCTGTTGGCTCTATTTTCTGCCCTTTTATTCAAGGGAAATCTTTGCAAACACTGTAATGGATACCACTTTCAAGTCTCATTTTTTATGTTGACAGTGTTTATGTACTTCAAAGAGCACAGAGTTACAACTTAAATTTTATCTAGAATAAAATGATTACACAAATCAAGGACCAGAGCCCTTAGACAGTTATCCGATTCAGCATCCTCAATACACACATGAAGAAATGACATCAAGAGAAATGAAATGACTTAGATCTAAGACTAACATAACTAGAGACATAAGTAGAATAAAAATTCATGTTTTCATTACCAAAGAACTCACATACTATTAAA